CAAAGTTAAAAATGAGTGGAAAAAGGATTATTTTCATGCTGAGGCAGAAGAATGTATGGAAGGCTAAGGTTACATATTCAGTTTTCTAATCTCTACAGAGAAATGAAAGCATTGTTTGACCAGCACCACACAGAAAAAGAAAAAAAAAGTCATTAATGCAGATTCCTAGCTAAATGGTTAATTTTTTCAAAGCAAAAATCCTTGTGCTGTCTTTACCTGGTCTTCCTCCAGATCTAGGGAGAGGTTTAACTTTAATAAGAGATGGTCTGTACCACACCAGTTTTGCTCCACAGAACCTCCTCCTTCAGGAAATGCAGAGCTCGGCTCCTATATGGCAAGCAGGCTGCCTTTGGCATTGTGCTGATTTAATGCTGTGGCCCTAAATATAAATAATTCCTGAAAAAGTAATCACTATAAGAAAGTATTAAAATAGATATCTAATGTGCAAAACTATAGATTTTTTAGGTCTGCTCTGTTAGTGTAAGAAGACTATGTATGAATATTGATGCAATTTTGTGTTTATTTGTAGGAACAATTGGATTTTTCGCTTGCTTTTGGTTTGTGACCAAGATATACAGTGTGGTAAAAGTTGACTGAAGATACTTAATGCAGAAACTATCAACCTAATTTAAATATGATTTTGGAAAAGAATGTAAGCTTTATCGAAATGATACAGATTTTCTCCCCTTCAAATATTTGTATTGTTATTTTGCAATCTGTTTTCACTTTGTATTCTTAGTGAAGACTGAATGTAAATGTATGCATTTGTAAATATTGTTATATTGGGACTTTTAAATTCTAATGACTGGTTATAAGTGCTGCCTTGCAGTATTTAATAATTCTTCTGACAGAATAGTTGTAAATAAAGTTTTCTAGGTTTGCTGAATGGGATTGATTATTTTTTCAAAGTAAAAAACTTATTTCTCTCATGCTTCTGAAGGTTGACTCAGTGTAATTGCTTGTAGTTTGAATGTTTTTGTTTCATATGAAGCCATGGCCATAAATCCATCATTTTTTCCCCTCTGATTGTTTGGTTCTAGTTGTGTTGGCTGTTGAGATTCTGTGGCCTCCTAAGTTCTGCAACCTAAACAATTCATAACAAATGAACTATGTTCAGTTGATTATTACCCATTATAAATAAATGCATAAAATTCTGTAAATAGAAATATATTCATAAGTTCTAAATATGCAGATTGGGTTATGTTTTTTGAGTAAATCATGTTACATAAGTGTAATATTCATGAACTACTTAAAAATGACATTTCATAACTATAGTGTCTCTCTTAATTCACTATATAACTAAATTAAGAGACTGGATAATATGATGAAAAAGTCTGCATAAACAGAAACAAGATGTATTACCGATTGTGTTCCCTGCAGATTTTAATGATACATATTATGCAGAATGGACTATGGATTTTGTTTTAATAGCTAGAACTATTTGCTTTAATTAAAAGAATAAATTTGTTAGATGAATTAAAATTAGTGGAAACATGTTTACTGTGTTGTTGTCTGAGGTAAGCAATTTACCTGTTAATAACCTCTGCATGTTTTCTGGAAGAGCACACCTGTTGCCATGTAATTTGCATGTTTCAACAGATCACCCTAAGTTTTTTTTCTAGTATTTCTAAAGAGTATAAACTGATGTGTGAATATTAAAATCCAATAAAATATCTTTTGTTAATAACCTGAATTTTTAATTTGGTCCTGTAAACTTCCATTTACACTAATGTTTAATCCAGAACACTTTACAGAATATTTTTTTTAAAATGCCAATATTCTTCAGACAGCCACTCTAATTATTTGCTAAATGGTTATTATTGCAGCTTTGGATTCTCTTTTAGTAAAATTATTTGTGTAGTTATACCAGGGCTGGATGTTGGTTTTTGCTGCTATAAAAGTGAGGCGGCATCCTTGATTGAGAATGCTAGCATAAAGTATCTGACTTAAAGAATCATATCCTTTAACATATTCAAATTTGTGTGTCAGGTTTCCTTGGAGTCAGAGAATAATAAATGGAAGACTCCTCTGGCAGAACAAAATTTGACTACTTGTTTTTTGTTCTTGTTTTGATTTATTTATTTTTTTTGCTTACCCTCCCTCAAACTTATGGATCAGTGGGTATAGCAAAGGGAAATGCAGGAAGCTACTAATTGGAGGGCCTTGAACAAGGGAGATCCTTTTATATTTATGTAGGACTTAAGATATTTATTTCATTTCTCAAGGCGGCTTCCAATTAAAATGCCATGTAGGGAAAAATAAAAGAAACATGCAAAGCATCTCTATCAAGCATGAAGTGCCTCAGTTTGAATTTGATGTAGGCTGTTGCAGCCCTGCTGAAAGCATGCAAATTTTGAAACAGGGATGATTTTGTATCTTTAAAAGCAGCAGTTCTCAACCAGGGGATATGGCTCCTTGTGTGTTCTATGATATATTTCAAGAGGGTAGTATATGAAACATGTAATGGGTATCTACCCGGAAGCCACAGAACAGTATATTGCATCGCAAATACTACCTTGTTGATGCCAGATAATGCACCAGTTACTATTCTATATCTGTATTTGATAATGGAACCTGGACAGACGGGCCACATAAGAAAAAAAAAGTTTGGAAGAGCGGCATGAACAAAACAAACTCAAAAAAACACTGTATTATGTCATTTGGCAAGGGAGATGAAAATGAAGGAAAATACTTGAAAACCTAAGGGAACTTGTTTCATTTTAAAGAATTTGTACTCTTTCAGATAAAAAAAACCAAAATTATTTGATGAAAAATTGTACATGTATTCTTTTTATTTATCACCTTTGATAGGCATGTTAGAAATTTATTAAATTTATATAACTCCCCATCTCACTACCTGCCATTTGGGTCAGCTTACAAAATTAACATCAAAACAATAAAAAACAAACCAAAAAATAAGCACCATCAAAACAGTAAGAACTATTAAAAAAACATAAAACCCACAATCTGTAGACAGTACCATTTTTTTCCTAACATACAATTAATTTGCAGGCTCTCCACCAATGTCATCAGATCTCCAGGTAAGATAACAAGGCCACATCTTAAAGTGCTCCTACAAAGCCAACATGCTTACAAAAGGCAGGCAATACAGCAAAAAAGGCTTCATGTGGTTGTTAGGAGCAGAGTGTATTAAATTTTGTGGCACCCTACATAGTAGGGACTGAGGGCAGGATCTCTCCCAATCAACACCAACTGGAGCTAGTGACAAATCAATTTAAGACACTGCAGACCAGGGGTCTTGAAACCTGGTCATTATGACTTGTGGACTTCAATTCCCAGAAATCCTCAGCCAGGCATGCTGGCTGAGGAATTCTGGGAGTTGAAGTCCACAAGTCATAAAAGGGACAAGTTTGAAGACCCCTGCTGCAGACATTGTAAAGGATGTGGATTTGTTTAGCTATAAATTGTAATAGTATGTGGAAGTAACCTTGGGAGTCCGTGCCAAGGGAATAGTTAAGTGGCAGAATAGCTTAAAAGCAGATAGTGGTGCAGGAGGCTCTCAGGCTGTAAAAGAACGGAGAGAACTGAACTTCCAGACTTGCAAGATTCTGTCAATATAGCTTTATAACAGACATGTCAAACTCGTGACGTCGTGCAACGTATCGGAGCTTTTTTGCCATTGCCTGCAATGGGGTGGGTGTGGCTCCGGTATGATGAAACCAGGCCACGGGCCGGCAGTTTGACAACCCTGCTTTATAATGAAGTATAATTAGCTGATCTGGTTGTTTCTTAACTGGGTTGCTCTACAAGGCCAACATAAATTTTCCACACAATTTAGTGGCATCTGCTTCTGAACCATCAAGTTTAGGAATTAAGTCCTTAAGTATCTTTTAGCCTACAAGAATGTCCTTCACTCAATATCCTAGCTAAATTTTAACAGATTTCATAACTACACTGCAATGTTGCAATAATGACTATGGAATAAGCCTGCTAACCTTCATGGCTAGTTTGCACACTGGTAAATTGGGGCTAAATGCATTGGATGTAAACACCACTGTGTGGTCAGTGAAAAGCTCCAGACACGAGTTAATTCAGTCAACCATATTTCACTAAATATGAGACGCGTTTCTGCAAATATAACCTGCGGGATTAAGGCATCAAACTGGAAACCGGGAGATCGTGAGTTCTAATCCCACGTTAGTATAAAGCCAGCTGGGTGACCTTGGGCCACTCACTCTCTCAGCCCTAGGAAAGAGACAGTGGCAAAGCACTTCTGGAAAAAAAACCTTGCCAAGAAAACTGCAGGGATTTGTCCCCACAGCCTCGAGAATGGGACACAAACTGGCGGAAAGAAAATAAAGGACAATCCTTCCCTATCCAACAACAACAAAAGATTAAAAAGAAAATCTGTCTTATTTTCACTCTTAACGTCATCGCCTTAGGCAGGCCCTCTGTAACTTTGCAAAAAAAAAACAAACCCCACAAAACCCCGACATTGTTAATTAGTATATTGATTAGTGATTATCAGAAACGGAGCTTCTTTTGATGTTTTCGCTCATTTTTTTATGCGCAGCAAGCCTTCGAATAAAAACGTTTCGGCAAATACCCTTTTTTATGCCTTTCGCTAATGCATTTTTCGCAAGGTACTATCGCGTGCGTTAAGTACTTAGGAGATAACCTCGGGCGTTGCCATGCATCTTCATCACGGAATAAGCCATGGTTTCTATTAAAACTTGCCCGCAATTCTTATTCTCCCGTGTACTCTTCTGCAATGCACGCTGTTGCAAGTTTACTTAGAGCAAACAATTTCCCTTTCGTTTAGCAAGGCCGCGTCACGGGCAAGCAGGTCAGCATCTGGCCCGCAGCTGTTTCTCAGTTTTCTGGCTTGGAAGATTCACGTGCAGACCTGCTTGCGCGTCACGCTTCCTTCCTTAGTTCCTCGAAGGGGAGGGGCAAAGAAAAGGGGCGGGATCTTCCGCGCGTGCGTGTCTCACAGGAGGCGGCAGAACTTCTCCACCAATAGGAGAGGGCGAGGGCGGGACCAGGGCGAGGCGAAGGATGGGAATGATGGCGTCTGCGGGAATGGGACTACGGCGGCTCCTGGCGGCCGGTTCGAAAGTGAGCAGGAAGCGAGTGTGAGTGTCGCGATGGAGGGGATTGCGCGTGCGCTTTCCGAGAATGGTTCGGGAGATGGGGAGCTTTCTCCCCGTTGATCCCCTTTCTGTTGCCACTTCTTAAAGCCGTCTGCAAGGCAGCTGATTCCTGATTGTTGCGGAGCATGGAGCTGCTCGGGATAGTTTTGCTACCCCTTTAAATTGTGGCAGTGCCAACATCTTTAAGCTGGGTGGACTTCGACTCCCAGAATTCCCCAGCCAGCATGGGAGTCGAAGTCTATCCAACCTGAAGGTGCTGAGGCTGAAAAATCTGAAATGTAGTAAGCCGATCTTGACTGATTTTGCCATACCTAAGCAGCATCCAGTCTGGTTTGTTTTTGGAGGGGAAACCCATCTGGAAGCCCGTGGCTTTACAGGTTAGATTGGGAAAAACAGGATCATCCTGGAAGAAGATAGTGGCGGATGACTTCCATACTGCTGCCAAGAAAACAGGATGGACAACAGTCCTTTCATGTTGCCTATCCTTGAATAACCAAGGAACTGAGTTCAAGTAGTGAGACTTAGTATCATTGTGTGGAGATTATTTAAGACTGTGAACTGGTCCCTTTAGTTTTCTTGGGATTTTTTTTTAAATATTGTTTTTATTGTGCCTTGGAATCAGTGTTGACTCCGGGCAACTTCCTAGACAAGTCCTTGCAGTTTTTTGGCAAGGTTTTCTGGAAATGGTTTGTCATTGCCTCCTTCCTAGGGCTGGGAGAGATTGACTGGTCCAAGGTCACCCATTTCGCTTTGTGCCCAAAGTGGGACCTGATTTCCCAGGTCCTAGTCTGGTACCTTAACCACTCTACCAGTCTGGCTCTGCAATTCTTGGGATTGTAGATCCCATAATCTTTCCACAACTTGATCTTAGCTTGAGGAAGGCGAGATGAAGAATGACAAGAGCTGTCAATGCTTACTTAGAAGTGAGGCTATGAATTCACAACTCCACACTGTGATACAGATCAGAGGAATAATAATAATAGTAATATAAGTACATGCCACCTGATTCCCAATAACTGGGCAGTTTACAATTGCTAAAAACATTTAAAAGCAGCAGCTGGGCATAAATGGCAGGGAATTTATTCTAGGGAATAGAGAAGCAGAGAGAACTGCATTGTTAGGCAGATCTTGCTAAAATCAAAGTGGCTTCCTTAGTGAGATAAGAGTTTCAACAAAGGAGTGGCATCTGCAGCCCTCTGTCCTTCCTGGTGTGTTAATGTGAGAAAGAAAAAAATTTTCTTCTACAAATGTCCTTCATTTAAATTAAGGCACTCAATATCATATATCATGAGTTCTTAGCATGAGCATGCTGGTTGGGGAATTCTGGAAGTTGAACTCCATACAGCTTAAAGTTGCCAAAGTTGAGAAACTCTGCAGTGAGGAATCCAGCTGCCTTGGAATCTGCTGTTGTTGAGCTGTTTTACACAAATTTGCTGATGTGACACCTGACTTCAGCCTTTTTGCAATGGAGACATTCTGCGTAGTATCTCTCAGGCTGGTGTTTGCAGTTGGAAATAAGCACTTTTGACAGATTTCATTTTATAATTTGTGTTATAGGCAAAAATAAATGGTGGGGACAAAAAAGATTTCAACTTTAGCCAAGTCTCTCTTTACCTTAATTAATAGACTGACCCTGAAAAAACTTTTTATATTGATCACGTCTACTTAATGGTTTTTTTTGAACACTAGATGGAGCTAAGGTAACGAAGGCTGAAATATATTATGACCAGTTAATCAGAGTGGAAAAAAAAATTCTTGTCTTGCAACATTTTAGCAAACACAATTTTTAACAAATCTAAAATATAAATGACTAATAATATTGTATTTTTAAAAATGTTGCCAATTACCTTTTTAATATGTAAATTGATAATTTCTTGCTTTTTTGTTTTAATTGGAAAATTAATTGAAATGTTTTATTCTAATTGGAAAAATGGAATCTTAATACATTCACCAAAAGTTATTTAAGAGTAAAAGAGATTTGAAATGTTTGAAGTTTTCATCTCAGATGCTCTTATCCATACCTGTGTGAAATGTTTTTGAATGTTTTGCTTTAGTATTATTCATATTGCTTTGCTTAAACTTTTAAACTTTTAATTAAAACGCTTGTATTTGCTGGAAATGATAATGATACTTACTCCACAGTTGCTAATTGGATTTTGGCATCACCCAAACATTAACACAAACCAAATTTGGTCTTTAAAAAATTGGTTTTACAGAATCAACTTAATTGTCAGTTTCTTAAGTATCCTGCTTGTTAATGAATTGGGTTGGGACTGACTTAAACATAAAATCAGAAACTAGAATCGGTTTCTGCAATTTGCACTGAGTGCTAAAAGATATGTTGCTGATTGTTGGCTGTGACATAATATTGGAAAGTGGTTGGAGGGGGAATACAGTAAAATTATACTGTAAAATTTATGGGGTGGTACTCCAACTCCTGGCTTACCTGGACGAGGATGAGCGTGCTCTCCTGTGGCTTGCAGTGTTGGGTATGCTCATTTAAGTGTTACAAACAGAGCACTGTTAGCTCCCTCATAAAGTTCTGAGGATTTTTACAGTGGATAATTTGATGGTTGAGGGTTGATGGAAAACCAGCTGTGTTTTAACACTAGAAAAATCTTTTCTTATGTTGTGAAAAGCTTTCCTTGAGATTGAAGATAGTGACAGTTCTTTTGTTGCAAATTGAGAATTTATTTATTTATTTATTGTTATTTTTCTACACAACTCAAGACGGTGAACATATTTAATATTCCTTCCTCCTCCTATTTTCCCCACCACAACAACCCTGTGAGGTGAGCTGGGCTGAGTTGGCTTTCATGGCTAAGATGGGACTAGTCACCGGGGTAGGCAACCTTGGCTCTTTTATGACTCGTGGACTTCAATTCCCAGAATTCCTGAGCCAGCCATGCTGGCTTAGGAATTCTGGGAGTTGAAGTCCACGAGTCATAAAAGAGCCAAGGTTGCCTACCCCACTAGACCATATTAAGTAAGTAAGTAAGTAAGTAAGTAAGTAAGTAAGTAAGTAAGTAAGTAAGTAAGTAAATAAATTAATAAATTAATAACTAACTAACTAACTAACTAACTAATTAACTAACTAACGAACTAACTAACTAACTAACCTCCCTGGTGCCTTAACCACTAGACCCATTACAGGTTTGGTTAAGGACTGCTCTCTTTAGCAACCATTCAACATTAAGACCATGCTGTAAAAATAGGTCCTCACATTTAAAACCTTCACAATATGCTGTGGTCACTTGATTGTCATTTGCAAGTTTCATTTGCAAGCTGGCTTCTGAAAAAGAAAAGTCAATGAAAACATGATGTCTTGCTTAATGACCATAGCAGAACTGATGTGAGACCAGCATAGTTACATGTTTTGTGTAATGACTCTGTTGTTTAGTGACAGGTTTGCCAATCTCGATTGTGGTCATTAAGTGAGGACTACCTATATTCTGATAAGCAGAGAATCTGCTTTTTAAATGATTCTCATTAAGTCTGATTCTGGAATTTATTCTCTGAATAATTCCTATAATGTTGATGGGGGAGGTTAGTTAGAAACAAGTGATGAAGCATGGTTATGACATCACGGAGGGAAACCTGTGCTTTGTGTCTGATGCTGGGATGAAAGTACATAAGCAGACACGACATCTGTATCCCCAGGCCACTGTTTTGATATAATCAAAGTTTGCAGCAGATGGTTTGACTGGGGTGGGTGGGAGGTAAATCTGACCATTCCTCTCTCTCTCCTGGCCTCTCCCCCCCATTAACTTTCTCCAATCTGGTGCTCTTCAGTTGAGAGTACATTATAGTTCTCATCATTTTCAGTACTAAAAAAATGGTTATTTGGCAAATTCTACTGTTGAATCGCTGTCTCTCTCCTCCTAAGAAGCAGGAGAATGGAGTTAAGGGAAGCTTTTGTTGTACAAAAATAGGATACCGCATAGCTGTATCTATGCGATTTATTTTCATGATCCTGGGAGGACTTTTTGAGGTTTTTATTTCTGCTTTCTTTTTTTATATGAACTGGTTGTTATGCAGATAAGTGTCTTGCTTCTTGGTAAAATGACTGGTTACTCTGAAGTCTCTTACACAATAAAAAAACAAGTGAAGAAACCTGGGACAGGCTAATCCTGCTTTATAAAATATAGGATACCAATTGTAGTTAAGAGAGACATTTTATCCTGAGCTTTCAGGTGACCCAATTTTCCCTGGTACTGTACATTTAGTTTTTTTACATCTGCACCTAATTTGTAAAACAGACTTAATGAGAAACTTCAAATAGTTTAAACATCAATTACAATGATGGCAAGGTTTTAGAGGTCCAGTAATCTGTCCATGTTGGTCACTGAAACGTGATCCCAGCTGGATATAATTAAGGACAGATGTCATTCCAAGACTTGAAAATGAGGGCTTTAAGGTTGATGCTAGCAATCTACTAGGCTGGTTGTTCTTACTCTTCATTTGCTGTGCAAGAGTACAGTTATTAATTTCACTTAATGTGGATATAGTTTTAAAACAACAATACATCCTCATCTTCTCGGAAAGGTTTATACAAGGTTTAGTATTGTTATTAATTCTCATTATTCACGGTGAATGTAAAAACATGATTTTATGGATTGTTGGAATGTCAAATAAAGTTACTGGGTACAGTGCAGTGGTCCTCACCAGTGGTGGGATTCAAATATGTGAACAACCGGTTCTCTGTGTGGATGCTGCTTCCGGAAGTCCGTTCTGGGCCTGGGCAACAAAAAATTAGCTACTGGTTCTGCTGAAGTGGTGCAAACTGGCTGAATCTCACCACTGCTCCTCACCAGATATCAGTTCAAACTGGCATTCTTCAGGTTACTCAGCTGTTACCCAGAGTTCTGGGAAGAAAATGCTCAAGTGGCACATATATCCTCTTTTAAGTACATTTTGTGTACATTTATGACCCCTTTGTGCTTCTTCTTTTCAGCAGCTGCTAATATTTGAATCTGCTATTT